TGCGGGAGATGTGGGAGACACGGTTGAGGGCGTTCTCGACCACTGAGGGGGGGAAGTTACGGTCCTTGAAAAACGAGGACAACTGAGATGTACGGGAGTGGAATGCCTCATCCTGGGAGCAGATGCGGTGGAGGCGAAGGAATTGGGAATAAGGGATAGCATTTTTGCAGGAAGGTGGGTGGGAGGAGAAGTATTCTAGGTAGCTGTGGGAGTCGGTGGGCTTGAAATGAATATCGGTTGCTAGGTGGTTGCCCGATATGGAGACAGAGAGGTCCAGGAAGGGGAGAGAGGTATTAGAGATGGTCCAGGTAAACTTAAGGTTGGGGTGGAAGGTGTTGGTGAAGTGGATGAACTGTTCGAGCTCCTCGTGGGAGCACGAGGCGGCGCCGATACAGTCATCAATGTAACAGAGGAAGAGGTGGGGTTTAGGTACGGAAGAGGGATTGTTCCACGTAACCTACAAAGAGGCAGGCATAGCTTGGGCCCATGCGGGTACCCATGGCCACCCCCTTTGTCTGTAGGAAGTGGGAGGAATTGAAAGAGAAGTTGTTGAGGGTGAGGACGAGTTCGGCTAATCGGATGAGGGTGTCAGTGGAGGGGGACTGGTCGGGCCTGCGGGACAGGAAGAAGCGGAAGGCCTTTAGGCCATCTGCATGGGGAATGCAGGTGTAGAGGGACTGGATGTCCATGTAAAGATGAGGTGTTGGGGACCGGGGAATTGGAAGTTCTGGAGGAGGTGGAGGGCGTGGGTGGTGTCACAGACATAGGTAGGGAGTTCCTGGACCAAGGGGGAGAAAATGGAGTCCAGATAGTTGGAGATCAGATGGGTGGGGCAGGAGCAGGCGGAGACAATGGGTCGACCAGGGCATTCAGGTTTGTGGATTTTGGGAAGGAGAAAGAAGCGGGCAGTGCGGGGTTGGGGAACGATGAGGTTGGAGGCTGTGGGTGGGAGGTCACCTGAGGTGATGAGGTTGTGGATGGTTTGGGAGATGATGGCTTGGTGCTCAGGGGTGGGGTCATGATCAAGGGGGCGGTAGGAGGAGGTGTCGGAGAGTTGGCGTCTGGCCTCGGCGATGCAGAGGTCAGTGCGCCATACTACAACTGCGCCTCCCTTGTCCGCGGGTTTTATGGTGAGGTTGGGATTGGAGCGGAGGGAGCGGAGGGCTGCACGTTCTGCGGGGGAGAGGTTGGAGTGGGTGAGAGGGGTGGAGAGGTTGAGGCGATTGATGTCTCGACGGCAGTTGGAGATGAAGAGGTCGAGGGAGAGTAGGAGGCCTTGGGGTGGTGTCCAGGAGGAGGGGGTGTGTTAGAAGCGGGAGAAGGGGTCAGTAGAGGGAGGGTTAGGTTCACGGTTGAAGAAGTAAGTGTGGAGGCGGAGGCGGCGGAAAAACTGCTCTATGTCCAAGCGTGAGCGGTATTCGTTGATCTGTGGGTGGAGGGGGACAAAGGTGAGCCCTTTACTGAGGACTGACCGTTCGTCCTCAGTAAGGAGGAGGTCTGGGGGGATGGTGAAGACTCAGCAGGGCTGGGTGCTATTGTCCCCTCTGGAGCTGCTGGCTGTGGAGGCTGTGGGCGGAGCGACGTCGGCATTGGCTATGGGTGGAGTTGCGTCGGTGTCAGCGGTGGGCAGAGTTGCGTCGGCATCGGCTGTGGGCGGAGTTGCATTGGCGGTGGGCGGAGTTGCATCGGCGTCGGCTGTGGGCGGAGTTGCGTCCGCGTCAGTGATGGGCGGCGCGGCGGCGGCGGTGGGGGGAGCGGGGTAGGCGGCGGCAGTAGCGGTGATGGTAGGTGCGTCTTCAGTGTCTGTGGTGTTGGTCTCGGAAATGGAGGCGGTGGCAACAGCAGCGATGGTGTTCGCTGTCCCGGAAGTGGGGAACCCAGCGGTGGTGGATGTGACGTCATCTGTGGGTTCTCCGATAGTGGCCTCATGGCCAATGGCGGCGGGCACATTGTGGGGAAGGTCTTGGGTACGGCTGGGGATTTGGGGAGTGGAGGAAGCCCGTTTTGGGTGGTAGGCACCAGTAAGTTTACTGTACTTACGGTTTTTAGTGTCCAATAAAGCTGAGTAGAATTGTGAGCAGCTCTTAGGTGGCCAACATCCAGGTTTGCGCTAACAAGTAGCATGGAATATTTATACCACTCAGGTGCTAGGCAATGACTGTCTCTAACCAACAACATCCCTTGACATTCAACAGTATTGACATTGCTGAATTTCCCACTGTCAAATCCTGAGAGTTACCATTGACCAAAAATCTGAACTGAACCAAACCAGCCAAATAAATATTGTGACTGCACTACCAAGTCATAGGCTAGGAATTCTGTGACGAGTAACTCGCCGCCTACCTCCCTAGTGCTTATCTGTTATCTACAAGGCACAAGTCAGGAGTGAGATAGATTACTCTCCACTTGCCTGGATGGGTGCAGCTCTAACAATACTCAAGAAGCTTGACACCATCCAGGACAAAGCACCTGCCATGACTAACACACCATTTACGTACAACATTTACTCCCTCTACCACCAATACATAGTAGCAATAGTATGTGCTGTCTACAAGATGCAGTGAAGTGACTCACCAAGGATACATCAACATCACTTTCCAAACTTGCAACCTCTAACATCTCGAAGGACATGGGCAGCAGATGCATGGGAACACAACCCCCTGTGAGTTCCTGTCCAAGTTATATGCATTCTTGACTTGGGATATATACTGTTCCATCACCGTTACTAGGTCAAAATCCTGAAACTCCCTCCCGAACAGCACTGTGGAAGTACTACATCTCAAAGACATCAGCAGTTCAAGAAAGCAGCACACCAGCACCTTCTGCAGGGCAATTAGAGGTGGGCACTAAATGCTGACACATCCAGCAATCCCCACTTTTCATGAATGAATTAAAACAAAGATAAATATCAACCCCATTGCTTTGTGTTGGGAGTCACATATAAGCCAGACAAATAAGAATGGCACATGGGGTTTTACAACAGTCTGATAGCTTCATGGGTACCATCGCTGAATCTCAGCTTGAATTTTAAATGTATCTAATTATTAAATATAAAATCCCTGTGCACCATGATAGGATTTGAACACATGAACTCACTACTATTAGTCCAATAATAAACCCACTACAGCTGCAGGCGTATTCTATTGAGTCTTTTTGTTTCTTCAAAAGTAAAGATATTCTGCACAGGTTTAAGTAATTAAATTCTGTATTAGTAGTAATCTTACCGCGAGGTGGTAGAGGCGGGCACCATAGCATCATTTAAGATGTATCTAGACAGATACATGAATGGGGCAGGGAGCAGAGGGATACAGATCCTTGGAAAATAGGCGACAGGTTTAGATAGAGGATCTGGATCAGCGCAGGCTTGGAGGGCCGAAGGGCCTGTTCCTGTGCTGTAATTTTTTTTGTTCTTTGTTCTAACATGTTTTCAAGCTCCCTGGAGATGTTATTACAAAATCCGTGCTTCAAAAGTCCTTTGACTCCCCTCCATTCCTTTAAAATCACAGTCTTACTGAGGTTGTCTTTTAATTAAATATTAAACAGGGAAGTAAAGAACTGTCTCTCATCCCACCCACAAGTGATTCATTCTCCACTGAACAGGAGAGCCTGATTTGGTCAGGGCATCAAAAAGGAATTAATGGGTTAGATTTTCTGCTCACTGGTAGGTGGAGTAACCAAACCCTGCAAAGGCTAATTGGAAAACTGTTCTGTATCTTGGTTACTCTCTGTAGAATTGTGTATGTCAGTTCTTCGTGAACTGTGGGTTGTGACGATACAATGGCTTTAAGAGGTGTATTTTGTTCTGGCTTTTTTGTGAAGAAAGGTTGAAACAGGGGCACTGAGCAGTCTGCTCCAAAACCAATAAAGTAAACAGCTTGTGAGGTCTTGGCGTTCTTTTATAAAGTTGGAACAATAGAAGCAGCCTGAAAGGGTGGGGTCAAACTCCTACAGAACCATGGTTTTTAGTTTTAGCTTTCAGCAGTTGCTAGAGTCTTGAAGCTGGATGTGGAAGCTCTTATTCCTCTCTCTGTTACAGCTAAAAGCTGGAGTTCTCTTCCTGCTGCTAGGATTACATGTGAGACAATCTATTTTACTGAATTTGCCTTTGTCAATGGTGTGTTTATGGCATGTTACTATTTTGGAACTGTTAATTAGTAGTCTTAATCTATCTATCTATTGTACTGTTAAGCATTTCAATAGTTACAGGTAAGCCAGTCCTTTTATTTATATTTTGTCTGTATTTTAATTATAGCGTATGAATAAAGTGTGTTTTGTTTCAAGCCTAGTAGTTTGACCAATCAAATCGCATCCAGAACACAACGCCTTACATTTACCTTTAAATAAAAAAAATTTAGGGTCGAAGCTATCTTCTTAATACATTTTGAGGGCGTTTGGTCTGGTCCATAAGAGGGTCATGACCTTTTGAGTAAATTTCAAGGCTGTGTGGTGGCCATGGCGATCACACGGAACGTTAAGAGTCCTTTAACTCATGGCACTTTTCCTATTGGTGAGTGTGGCCTAAAGGACAGCTTTTTAAGGCCTGGATTGCTGCTGTGTAAGAAAGTTTGTGAAAAGCTTTTTGTTTGTACTTTGCAAAAGTTTAAGCAATGACTGTCGCAGTGAACTTACACCCCCACTGCACGAGAACTCAACACTTGCACTCACTCACCGAAGCTGTACCCCTCCCGTCCCAAAGCCCAATTCCTCACTCCTACTCGAAAGGGGCATTAATGAACTTTTGCATCAATTGATCATGAGTTTATGAATGAGACTTCAGAATCCATTTTTTTAATTAACTGATTTAAATTCTACCAGTTGCTGTGGTTGTATTTGAACCCATACCTCCAGAGCTTTGGTAACAACATTACCACAAAGTCACAAGGGCACACATGAAACTGGAGGTGATAAAATTAAGCCACACGAGGGAAAGGTACGGAGAGCTCTCATTTGTCTTGACTGTATGAACACAGCTGGCCACAAGCTGACAAACAGAAACTTACTTGAAAACAGACCCAGGCTGTGTAGATTTTCGCAGCTGTCCAGCTGAATGATGGAGCACGGCTCCAGATGTCGCTGACACTTGACTTTCCAGAGTACAGGTCAATGACAGGACCAGAAAGAGCACACTGGTACTGGTCACAGGACATCACAAAGTAGAACACAATCATTGGAGCACAGAGGAGAAGAAAGATAACAGATACAAGGGAAAACCAATCCACCTCCCTAAAGAGAAAGCACAGGCAGCCGTTAGAATTGTTTAAAGTTGAAAAGTAATTTGAAAATGATCAAATAATAACAAGAAATCAGATAAATCAATAAGATTTCAAAACGTGTGTACATTATTGGTCTCAATGCCTCAAGCTGGGTGTGGGAAAATCCAAGTTTGATTGGAGCTGTCTGGTATTGCTTGACTCCAGTATGTACCAGACACTAATACACTGTCACTTCTCCAGTCTGGAAATCTATTGTTCAGAAACAACCAGTTGTTCAGAAATTCATTGAGCAGGTCCCTTGCATCTCCCAGTATCTTCCCCAGTCTGGAATGCTTTGGAATTAGTCATTTCTGGATGATAAAATAATGCCAGAATGCCTAATCACAAGTGCATGAACCAGAAAAAAGTGACACCGCATGATGAAGAACTGATAAAAATTGATTTATTTATCCAAATGTGGTATCTATCACATTTGTGCTCTCAAAGGGCCATACTAAAATGATGCTGGGAGATGTGTGGGATCATGGGATCATAGAATCCTTATAGCATGGAAGGAGGCCATTCAGCCCATCGAGTCTACACTGACCCTCCAAAGAGCAACTTGTCCAGACCCACCTCCCCTACTCTAAACCTGTAATCTTCATTTCCCATGTCTAATCCACCCAGCCTACACATCCCAGGTCCTAACCAGTGCAAACCACTGAGCCAATGAGTTTCTTCAGTGTTACTGGAATTACAACCATCCAGGCAAGTGGGGACTGTTCCATCAAACTCCTGACGTGTGCCTTGTACGAGTCACATGTAGAACAGATTTCCTTCCTCGAATGACATCACTGCACCAGGTGGATTTTTACAAGAATGGATCATAATTATGAGGTTCTGAATGAGTCGATCTTCACACTCTAATCTTTGATGAACTGAACGACATGGGATCATGAGTCTGATGTGGGTCATGCAGTAACAATCGTGGCATGGTAAATCTTGGTTGCCCAAAAAATTTGAACAGATATGCAAGTTTTCCGCCATTCATTTTTTTCAATATGCTTCACGAAGAATGAATTAGAAATTCAGTTTTGGTTTGACACAGATAAGCTTACGGTAGCAAACCCACACACAGCACCAGTCCTAATTTAATATTTCCTAAACAACCTGCTCAGAGATATTATTACACACCTCTGGGATCTGAACCCAGGTCTCCTGGTTCAGAGGTAGGGATACTACCACTGTGCCACAAGAACCCTAGTGTCCTGAATAATGCTTGTCCTTTCTGTTCATTTTCTTACCAGGCTCTGCCCCATTGCCCCAGTTGTTCCTTCTCACTTGGACCAACTCCATTTGCAGAGTTCTTGTTTTGCCTTGTAATAGCGCCAAACGATTGTGTGGCAGTCATGGTGTCCTGAAACAAAAGGATAGATTATTATTAACTGTTTTTATTATTTACAACAAAAGCAACGAATATTGGAGAAACTCCACAGGTTTGACAGCATCTGCGGAGAGAGAAAAACAGAGTTGACGTTTCAGGTCCAGTGACCTTCTCAAGAATCCTGTTCTGGAAAACAGTCACCTGACCCAAAACATTAACTCTGTTTCTCTCCCCACAGATGCTGCCAGACCTGCTGAGTTTCTCCAGCAATTTCTGTTTTTGTTTCAGAATTCCAGCCTCTGCAATTCTTTTTTGTTTTATTTAGAATAAAACTGACAGCCCTGTGATATAAACAGGTTACTGTGACTGCCACTTTGATGGTTGTCATCTGACAGGGAACTATAACAGATGACAGTCTTTGAGTAGCCAATATAAAAAATTCAGCAGGAAGTTCTCAGTGGAACCCAAGACTTAATTTCATTCATTCGACAAATTGAAAAGAAATCAAAATGTTTCAGCACTTCAACGATAATGAAATCAGTATAAATACTGAAGTTATACCCTTTGCAAGACTGATATTTGTGCTGTATTCATGTAGCTACGAGCAGTCATTCACCTCATGAAGCAGTGTACTCCCCTTTCCAAACTGGAAGGCGTCCTATTGAACAGCACATGCATGGTCTTCAACGGGGCAGCAAACTAACTGCTCGAGCTATTAATTGGCCAATTTGGGGAAATTCACCGCTGAGTAAAGGCTTAGCCTCAGGGGGTCTTCTGAGAAACTCCTTTCTGACCCTGACAGTGGGGGCCTGAGGCCACGGGGAATCATCGAAAGTTGGAGCAGGAGTAGGCCATTCGGCCCTTTGAGTCTGCTCCACTATTCAATATGATCATGGCTGACCATTCATCCTAGTCCCCTGTTCCCTCGTTTTTCCTATATCCTTTGATCTCTTTTGCCCCAAGTGCTATATCCAACAGGAAAATCCTGCTCCACATCTGGGTGTGCACCATCCCTGACTTGGCCCCAGCATCTGTCACAGAAGAATGCCCAAAATCTAAAGGCAAAACCTTGATGTGCACAGCCACTGCTAATGAAACCTGATCTTCCTGGCAACGCTCCAGACACAAGGCACAACATCAAAAAGTCAAGATCCTGAATCATTGCCAGTGAACAAATTAATTTAGGCAGCGACACTGAAGCAACTACACTAAAAAAAAAACCATAAGCTGCTGGAGAAACTCAGCAGGTCTGGCAGCATCTGGGGAGAGAGAAACAGAGTTAATGTTTTGAGTCCTCTTCAACAGAATTGGATAGGAATTAAGTGATGCCTACATTCTTCAGAGTTAATTTCTTGGGGCAACCTGGTGCCCTGAGACGAAATGACAAAACTATCAGTCCTGAGGCATGCTCGGTGCCTCACCAGCCATCATACCTCCTGCCCTGACCAGTGAACTGGGTGGTGATGGGTGTGGCTAGCGAGGCAGACAGAAAGAGGTGGCAATAATGGGTGTGTCACACCCAATTCCAGCTAAGGTGGCAGGGGATGAGGTAAGGGAAATGAGGGGCGAGTCTCGTAGAAACCAATGAAATTGTTAACAGAACTAGACAGGTAAGGGGAGCAATGGCCTATTGGTATTATCGCTGAACTGTCAATCCAGGTAATGTTCTGCGGACCCCGGGTTCAAGTCCAGCCACAGCAGATGGTGGAATTTGAATTCAATAAAAATCTGAAATTAAGACCATGAAACCACTTGATTGTTGGAAAAGCCCATCTGGTTCATTAATGTCCTTTAGGGAAGGAAACTGCCATCCTTACCTGGTCTGGCCTACATGTGACTCCAGACCCACAGCAATGTGGTTGACTCTTAACTGCCCTTTGGGGCCGTTAGGGATGGGCAATAACTGCCGGCTGAGCAAGCGATGTTCTCATCACGTGAATAAATAGGAAAAAAGCAAATGTACTAAGGATGTTCCTGACATCCAGGGAGTCCAGAACCAGTTTAAGGATTTGGGACGGGCCATTAAGACTGAGATGATGATACATTTCAGAGAGTGGGAGGTGACCCTATGGAATTCTCTGCCACAGAAAGCAGTTGGGTCACAGAATCATGGAAGCCAAGAGCACAGAAAAAGGTCCTTCAGCCCATCAAGTCCATGCACCTATTATTCTGAACCCAAACTGAAGTTAAAACAAGGGGTATGGTGAGAAAGCAGGAACATGGGAAATTGGGCTCAAAGACCTGAAGAACCGACTCGTGTTTATATTTTCTAAATGCTGACAAATTTGTTGTCTCTCAGTGACTCACTTGCAAACAAGAGATCAGGTTCCTCCCTGAAGAAAGGGTGGGAATCAAAGAGTAATGCTGTGCTCCACCCATCAGCAGATTTTACATCAGTATTCAGGTGACAATATCCTCATCAATTCAAAATCACTACTCAAATACAAAGCAGGCCTGATTGTGCAGTGTTGGTTTCCTCTTATTTCTCCCAAGCCATCGAACCATTTTGGTTGCTGTCTGAGGCGCCGGTTAATAGCCGAGGCTAGAATGTAAACTTGGTAACCATGAGCGAAACTCCATTGGAGGTGTCGGGGGCCTTGTCTACTTTAAGATAACCAGTAAGAAATCGGTGCTGCTTCTTTCAGGGAAGCCCTGCAAAATCACACAGCGATCAGGCACTGGCATGGCCTCAACAAGATCCCAGGGGTTTGGTGGGGGGGAAGGAGGTGGGGATGGGATTCCTAACCAGGGTGAGCAGCCAGCCAATCAGATCCAGCCACCCTTGCCTTTGGCTGTGCTACTGGTGGAAGATCAACTCCCAACTCAGCCTTCAGTTGGGTCCCAGCATTCTGGAGGGTCCACATCTAAAATAAATGATTTATCCAGGGTGTGGGGTTGTTATTGGGTTGGGGATCATGGGAAGGAGGAAGGATTGGAAGCAAGGATGGGCAAGGGGCTCACTGCCTTTGGGCCCCCCCCACCCTCTCCTTAACCTCCAGCCCGTTGATCAGGAACCGATCACCATACAGCAGTACCCCACTTCCCCAAGGTGAGGAACTGCTTGCACAGGTTGATGTGTCAGGCCAGGTGACTTGGCACCATAGTCAGTGACAGCTGGATTGATCCCAGCGGTGGTAAACTGAGGTCACTTGGGGTGGGAAGAGTAACCCTAAGGTCTCACACCAGAACTTCATTCAGGTGGTGGAGGAAAGGCTTTTGAGTTTGGATATCCCTCTTTTGCTCCCTCTGGGAAGCCATGATTTGGAGATGCCAGTACTGACCTGGGGTGGACAAGGTCAAAAATTACATGACACAAGGTTATGGTCCAACAGGTTTATTTTAAGACACCAGCTTTCAGAGTCTCACTCCTTCTTCAGGTGTCAGTGAGAGAGGCGGCATCAGACACAGAATTTATAAGCAAAAGATCAAAGGGTCACAGAACTGACTCGAACGTGTTGAACAAACCCAAGATGGCTGTTAAATCTTTAATCAGTGAGAAAAGATTAATATGCAAATTCAAGAATTTCTTTCAACTCACTGCCCCAAGATAACTAAAGGTTTCATCAGTTCCCCCAGACATCCCATGTCAGACAATGCATTTTTGGTGTGAGGCCTTGTTTAGAATCTGGCTGTGTATCAACTTGGAGTCAGACTGGCTTCATTTCCAAAGTAGGAATTTATAAAATGCCATATTGAAAGTCTACAAACTGTGTGCATTTTGAACAAAATAGAATGTATCTGCAATTACAAATCTGCACATGCAAATTCACCCCACAGATTTATGGATGTGCATAAGAAAGAGAGAGATGTGTGTGCACACACATGTGCGTGAGAGTGAGGGAGAGACGGTGAGAGAGTGTGACAGAGCAGACTTCCCATCAGACTTACCATGGTCTACTCTTTAGAATCAGTCTCATTCTTGGACGTACACATCTCCATCAGGGAACGGACACCTCAGTACCTCACTGTATCGCAAGCTTACGGATAACCTCACTCTAGCTTCCACCCTAAACATATTAAAAAACAGCAAACACCTATGGACAAGCCCTATGCATACACAGGATCTGTTCGGATGAGGAGGAATATGACAGACACCTGAAGGTGCTGAAGGACGCCCTCAGAGGAACGTGATACGAAGCTCAACTCATCGATTGTCAGTTCGGACATGCCGCAGCAAAAAAACCGTAGACCTCCTCAGAAAACAGATACGGGATACGGCCGATAGGGTACCCTTCATCGTCCAGTACTTCCTGGGAGCAGAGAAACTACGCCATGTTCCTCGCAGCCTTCAACAGGTCATCAGTGACAATGAGCACCTCATCAAGATCTGCCCCACGCCTTCACTTCTTGCCTTCAAACAACTGCCAAACCTTAAATACACCATTGTTCGCAGCAAACTACCCAGCCTTCAGGACAACATCGGCCACAACACCACACAACCCTGTTAATGGCAACCTGTGCAAGACATGTCAGATCATCAACATGGACACTACCATCACACGTGGGAACACCACCCGCCACGTGCACGGCAGATACTCATGTGACTCAGCCAATGTTGTCTATCTCATACGCTGCAGGCAAGGATGCCCTGAGGCATGGTATATTGGCGAGACCATGCAGATGCTATGACAACGACTGAATGGGCACTTGGCAACAATCGCCAGACAGGGTTTTTCCCTCCGAGTCGGGGAACACTTCAGCGGTCATGGACATTCAGCCTTGCATCTTTGGGTAAATGTCCTCCAAGGCAGACTTCGGGATGCACAACAACACAGAATCACTGAGCAGAGGCTGATAGCCACGTTCAGTATCCATCAGGATGGCCCCAAACGGGATCTCTGGTTCATGTTGCACTACAGGCGACCCCACCACACTACACACACAAACAAGTACATATGTACATATAAATCTTTGGGGTGAATTTGCATTTGCAGATTTGTAATTGCAGATACATTCTATTTTGTTCAAAAAGCACACAATTTGTAGACAGTCAATGTGGTGTTTTATAAATTCCTACTTTGGAAATAAAACCA